ATAGCTATGTTATTCAAGCACTGTTACTACTGTGGAAGAGAAGGAAGGAAAGACTTAGGGATAAGTGGCATGAGGTTGCCAAGAACAACACAAAACTCCTTGAGTGGTCAAAGATAGAACAACGGATCGAACAACGTGAAGGAAGCGGGTTGAAGTGCAAAGCGTGCCATTGGTAATAAATAGAATATGTTTGGAAAATGATAAAGAATGAAAAGTTTTAAAATTAAATTTTAATACATAAACTACAGCATTCGGTGTCAACATTTTTCAGCAGAATATATGTACATACATGTTATGCAAAAAATCCATCTATAAGAACAAATCAAAAAACAAAGACGCGGTCGTATATGACCGCCAGAAGAAACTTGGATGTTGAGTGATGATAGCCATTGTTAAGATTTCTTTGCGGTATTCTACTGTCAGATAAATTTATATCATGAGTATGAGAAAATACACTTTTCTTAAGGTATGAATTCCCACTAATAGGCGCTCTGACCCATTACACTACAGCGGCTAGAGCAAATATCATCCATCTCACTTTGCTCTGGCACTGAATTCCATAATCTGTCATTGTCTGCATTGCAAGAGATGGACAGTAGGCTAAGAGCATCAATAGCAAAACTCATTAGCATACTTGGAAGTAAACTGTTTTCTTTTACTACTAGCACGATTAAAAATATTTCGTTTTAACGATCAATATAACTGAATGTGACCATTAATCATTTACTAACTGTAAACATCAATTTACAATCGTATTATGAATTTTAGGAAAAACCAGTACTGTCTCCGTAGACGGAATTTTGGTGACTTCACGCCACGAAGATGTCCATACCCTGACGTGGTTCGACCTCAGGTGAATCCTGCCGTTAAGGTGTTTTTGGAGTCGACGCGTGAGGGAACACCTCCATGCAAGGAAGAGCCTAAAGATTGCTGTAAATTTCAGCTGATCGACAACGTGGATGACATAGGAGCGCAGGAAAGCGTCTATGCGGGTAGCGAGACGAATCTGTACGACTTTAACGAGAGACTGTTCAAGAAGGAGGTGGAGGAGTACGACACCTCGTACCGGCCTTTGGTGAGTGAGGCATACGGTACCGACGAGCCAAAGGTGAAGATCGAATTCAACTGGGAATCATACGATTATGCGGAAGAGAATCGGACGTCGCCTGCTCTGCCGCTAGACCCGGAAGTGTCGAATTTAGACGTTCGAATCCCAACGCCTGAGTGGTGGGGGAACATCAGCACGGCTAGCAGCCTTCTGATGTCACCTTGTGGCCTAGGCGCGACTAGGTCTTTGGACAACCTGGTCGGCGGTGGCCTGTGCCCTCAGCAGCAGCGAAAGGACGACCATCCTTGGAATGAAAACTTCCCGACCTTCGCGCTGGACGGCGATGGTTTGCTGCTCGACTTTGACCCGTCCAGGAGCGAAAATTTGCTCACGGAAACGCGCCGCTTCCAAGACTGTACCCTGTTCGAGTGAATGAACGTTGCCATTGATAGAATGAAACAAACACTTGTCGTATGCAAAAAGACAGACAGACGTTGATATTCAGACGATAGCTCGGTTCTTATTCTTCTAACAAATAAGTTATCGTCGTTTGTGCGTTAGTAATAAGAAATTCAAAATTGTCTTTGTCAACCATACTGTCAAAAGTACTTTGTTGGTTGACCGCCATTGGCTGGCGAGTTACTAATTAATCTGACGCTGCGAGCCTCACGCTCCTTCACCACCTTTCAACCTCAGGTGACCGGCGATGGTCAACAGCCGTCGCAGCACCCCCCGAAACGAAACGGTGTCCGACACGGCGACCACTCTCTCCGTCATTATCGGCTTTCGTACTCTGAAATAATCAGTCCCATTTTCGCTCTGGCTTCGCTGACCAACCTTCTTTCACAACGGTGAGCATCGGCCGTACGGTGACGATGGTTAACGAGGCATGAAAATCGATCGCCTTCTCACCTGCGCAATGGACCGACATGTTGCGATCGGTTTCCGCAGCACGATACCAAGACGCAGATGGTAACCTGGCCATCGAACACAGCTTAAGATCTGCACGACTTGACCTGCGCCGATGCTGCCCTTGTTAAGCCAAATCGATGCGCAGCTGAACGGCTCGCCTACAGGAGTCACTTCCGTACACCGAGGCTCAATTAGAAACGTCTTGTTTGTCTGTAATTACACAATTGTTATGCGTATTTCACAGGTTCCCTACAGTATTAAGCTGGTGTGTCTCGTCAGCTGCTCTGTCAGGAAAAATGCGATTCACACCTTTTGCCATGACCTTTTCCTCCGAGTCGAATTTAACATATCATAAATGTTAAACGGTATTATTTAAAAGTCAAATAATTATTTTAATTACTACTTTGTTGTTGTTTGAAAAAAGGTTAAGTACCTAGCTGCATGCAGGTCATCTGAGGGACAATGATTGGCGTGAAAAACGTTTGTCCAGATTTTATTCATGATAGACATAAAAATATGTTTTTACGTTGGGTGTGTCGAAAAGCGCATAAGTCTTTCAAAAGCGACATTTCTCGAAGAATTGCACCGCCCTTCCCCTCCCCCCAACCGAGTCGCTCATAGTTTCTTTGGAGGAGGCATTTTAGTAGGCCCCGACTCCCATCACATTTCAGCATCTGCAGTCGGACATGCATCACGTATCATTTTGTCTGCTACATTTTGAATACTGTTTCAGGAATTGATGCTCCCTCTATCTTATTCATTAGGCATTAAAATATCCCTGAATACCGTATGCCAGATGACGCACCTTTTTCATCTAATCATAATCACCGTGACGTGACTTAAAAAGATTTCATTCTCCTAGTGCTGCACGAGCAAAGTCATCCATGGCATCCTCAGCGAGTAACAATAGGGCAACTGAGCCAATTGAATTTTATCTTAACGTAGTCAAATATGCGGACACCTCAAAGCATATGGCATTTTCTCTTCTCTGTGCCTGAAAAATCCTGTGAACGTTCTTGGCTTTATCCTCATATTCTTGATGTTGCCGTTATAGGAACTGAAGAGAAAATCATTAAGAACGTTACTCAGATTTTTTGCCACAAGTGGTTCGACCTGATCACGTGTTTCAAACTTTTCCTAGATTTATAATACTTGACGATTACAATTCAGATTCCGCATTGATAGCACTGACAACGGTTATATGACTCATTGCACGCAGGTTTGCCTCAATTAGTTGTTTGCAGACTTTGCATAGTCCTCTAAGGTGTCTGCAGAATGCAGAGAATTTGGTTTCTGGGGGTTTGTACATTGTGCTGATTATTTCTTCGAGCAGTCAGCTCTTAAATCCCTCAAAGTCTTAGGCCTAATAGGTGCTCGCGTCAGACAGCATTGCCGTATCTCTCGTCCATTCCTTTACGGTCACGTCTGAACGCCATGCTGTCCCTGTTGTTCGCAAGTCAGCGACTTGCCACTTGCTTCTCAGGTTGTTGCGCTTAACCAACGTGGAGTGAATTCCCTGTTCGAGAGAATTGGCACTTGTGGCAGTTTTTTGGCAGTCAAAACTCGAACCGGCATTTAGAGCCTACCTCTACCACAGTTCAACTCAACCAAACCATCAGTTTCTATGCGAGAAAGAGTTTGAACATGTTTCGATTCTCTATTGCGCCTTTTACTAAACTAAACGATGCGTCGGTCACTGAGTTAGGAGGGAGTTTATCGCACACATTAAGGAAAGTCGTAAGCAACAAACCCCTGTTTAGCTTTCTCTGCTATGTGGTAGAACGACTTGTACATTTCGCTCTCCGTTCTGGGTGCTTACAGTTGGAGTTGA